TAATTTTAACCGATCATTTCAGCAAATGGGCTGAAAATACCCAAAAACCCATCTCGTATAATAGGGGGATTTTTTTGATAACTTTATACGCGTTATGGAGCCCCAAAAAATTAAATATAATTCCCCAATTTTATCCAGTTTTTTGAGCACTTAAGGAAAATTGGCATAAGGCATGTGAAGACTGGCATATCGACCACAAGCAAATGGGACTGAAAGAGTTAATCGAGATATAGTGCAAATGATTGAAAATTTGTTTAATGATCAACACGATACTTGGGAAAAATTTTAGTTTGCTTACGCTTTTCGACAGCGGTGAATGAAACAAGGGGAAAAACACGGCTGAATTATTTTAGGTCGAAAATTGAACACCTTTTCCAGTTACGAACAAAGTTCAAAACAAAACCAAAAATAGAGAAGTTATTCGGGGAAGCTAGACAATACAAAAAAACAGAAAGGGGGAAAAAAATTAAAATAGACGTAGAAAGGACATAAAAATAAAGGAAAATGTTTGGGGTTTTATTGAAACACACCCTAAGTTCAGCAGCTAACAAAGTATGTGCTAAATTTAAACAAAATTTGAGGGACCTTATAGAGTCTTAGAAGTTAAGAATTTTAATAATATTGTAATATGGAAATCAGGAAAAGATTAAAGTTAACGTAGATCAAATAAGAATATATCGTCATAGGAAATGTGACGAGGTCGAATTGGGAACAGGTATCCCAAATAGTATAAGATCAAGTCAGGAAACCGTATTTTCCGGAAAAAGTACACCAAGGATTAAATGAGTCACAATATGGGAAAGAAAAATCTGCGGTGAAACGTAGGTTAGGGGGCAAAAGGATTGGTAACCAATCAAATCAATATAAAAATACAGAGAGGACCCATAAAACAAATCACTGGTCAGATCACTACCTAGTTCATTAGGGAATGAAAATAAAAACAAAAGGTTTAAATATAACCAGGGTATTAAAAGATCAGGTGTGTCGGGGCAAGGACCACAAAGAAAGTGGCAAAGAAAGGGTAATAATAATAAAAAGACAAATGTCATCCAGTACTATTTCAAAGGGGAAAAAGAATAGAAGAGAGTGCACGAAGTCCAATGAAGCAAGATACAGTTTAAGACCACGACGGAGAACAGAAGAACCCAGACCAGCCAAGGACACAGTTGGGAAGGCAAGGAAAGGACGACAAGGAGATTACAAGCCTTACAACAAGAAATTCCAGTACAACCAAGGAATGAAGAGTGATGACACCTCATCGTTGAACGTGAATGTGGGAGAAAACATATAAAAATCAGGTTGTATTGTTTCATTTTTATGATCTTCCAACAAGTGGTCGGAAGAATTATTGCAAAGAAGGAAGTCTCGGCGGTGCTTAAAGTTATAACCCAAGTCAAACACTACAATGAGTGTTCATTTAATTTTGGAACTTTTTGACTTGTTAAAAATTTTTTTCTGAAGAAAACATTTGTAATCACACATTTGTTTGCTTCGATGTATGACTTCGTGAGATGCGAAAATTCCTTGGTTATTTGTTATAATAGTTTATTGAAAAATGTTTGTAATTGTATAATATGTGTATATATATATGTTGTTGTATTGTTACGTATTATGAGGCATCTTTGGGTTTTAGGAAACGCGGCGTAGTCAGGGGACTAACAAACAAAAACGATGCGCGGCCCCATTGGGAGTTTTTGTTGAAACCAGATGTGGATGGAGATGAAAATTTATTGTGATATATAAATAATATATAATTGTGAAATTGATTAATATTATGGAAATAGAGACTCAAAGAGTTTTCATTTCAGGAGACTGACCCTGAAAATCTTGAAAAGTATAAGAATTGTAGTTTTAAAAGAAGGGGAGCGACAGTGCCAGCTCCATATGCAGTGTTAGATTGGGTCTGGCACCCAGAATAATTGTTTTTTAAATGTATAAATATTTTAAGTATGAAATGTAAAAGTGAGAGGGCATAAATTAAACAGTAATTATTAATGTTGGCCTAGTTTTTGAGTAAAATTTATTGTCACGAGTTTAAATTTAAACGAATATTAAAATTTAATTCTAAGATGAGTAATGAAAATTAAAGTCAAGATAAATTTTGGAAATTTAAAAGTTAAAAAATTTTAAAATTAAAATTGCAATGAAAATTAAAGTCAATATTGGAAATTATAAAAGTTAAAATGAGGATTTAAGATTAAAATTTAAATAAAACTCAGAAAAACGAAGAAATTTAGAAATAGAGATTTTACACGTAATTTATTAGGGCATTGAGAACCCTTAATAAATCACGTTTTTCTTCTTGGAGGGGGTTGTGACGTCTCTCGCGTCTTTCTGTTAACATAACTCCTATGTTCTTTGACGGCCACGATTAATGGCAAAACTTTTCCAACCCAATACCAAGAAGATAAACAAAGATATTATGCAAATGAGATTTACTATATAAGGATAGAAGCTTTGATGATAAGATATAGCGTGGCAAGCCTAGATATAGCGCGGCAGGCTCAGAGATAGTATTGTGGAATCATTCTGATCGATAGCGTGACAAAGCTTAGTGTGAAATCTTGCAGATCAAGAATTAGCGGTCCGATAGCTTTAGAAGGAATAGAAATCCTATATAAAGAAGTTGGAATCTTCATATATAAAGCGAAAGATATATATCTCTTTTTGGTAAAGGAAAAATCTGCAAAAGGTAATATTGATATAAGTAATAGATGAATAGGATTATTAATGATAATTGAGATAAAGGATCTAGTTGCGTGATCTGACTTGAATACGTGATTTAATTTGGGCTTGACTCTCACTTTAATTAAAATTGTCAAATTAGAATTTAAGTAATATAAGTTATTCTTAATAAAAGTTTTATTAAGAATTATTATGTCTCATCATTTTGATAATCCCACACCTCTAGCTTACGCGGAACCGGCACGACATGGTCATCACGGATGGCATGTCGCAAGCCATTAGGTCAAGGTGCATACCATTCACCCGTAAAGACGCCACCCCCAGATCGGAGCTACGATTGATTACGGCAGGATTGACTATTTAAATTAGGACTTGCGTTTATTATTGAATTGAGATTGGGCGTTTAGATATTGATAGGGGCCCGAGTTATTTTTTCGGTATTGGGATTGGTGTTTGTTCATCGGATTCTCACATATTTTTAACAATTTTTTCAATCTTTTAAAAGGGTTTAAGTTTAAATTCTTAATAGAGACATATTAAGAATATAGGCATGTCGGTTCCTTTTGTAAATCCTACACTTCTAGCTCACGCGGATAATCAAAGAGAAGGTCACCCTAGGGAGCCACTTTCATATTTTGAGTCTGCAAAGAAGTTGTTGAACACAACTTATTCACGGACTCAACTGAACATTCAGAAATAGTTTGAAATCTAAATCTCCCAATTATATACCTCTGACATTTTAATATAAAATAAAGCTCGCAAGGTAAAAGATTTGCATTAAAATATTTAACTATATTTTAAAAATACTTAAACTTTGTTGCTATTTCTTATTCACACACAATTCCTGCTATTAGCTTACTCTCTCCCTATATATATATATATATATAAATCGTTCAAATTTTCAGTCTTTATTAAAATACTTTCTGTTCATCCATTTCAAGTTCAAATACATTTTTTAAACTTGTAGTTGCCAACAATTGATGTTAAAATTTATTCAAAAATTAATTCATTAATCAAATTAAAAAATGAATAAATAGTAACACACAAAAATTTTATTCCAATAATATATATATAAAGAAAAATCGTTTGTTGTGTCCCTGTAGCGCAATGGATAGCGTGTTGGGCTTCTAATCCAAAAGTCGTGGGATAGAATCCCACCTGGGATTACATAATTTCTGAGAATGTCATTTCTTTTTTACTATACTATTTTATTAGAACAGCTGAATTTAATTGATGTATAAATATCAACACACACACAAACAAAAAAAAATAATCCAACATCATATATAGAAAGGAAAATGGAAAATCGCTTTCTATTTTGTCACTTAATATAGTGATTCTACATATGTATATACATATTTATATTAATTGTAACTATTTAATAAAAATTAACTAAAAATAAATGGTTTTTTTTGTTGATCCAAGTAGGAATTGACTTAATTTCTTTTTTATGTTACTTGTTATTTTATTGATTAAATCTAAAAGATACACAATACACTCCACTCATTTTACAAACCAGAATGTATTTTTAAAAATAATTTTCTTAATTATAAGGGTCAAAATAAAGTTTTTTTTTTTTCAATTTTACACAAATTTAACTATTTTCTTTCTTATTTTTTAAAATTTTAACGTACAGTGAAAATCGTTTAACATGAAACTGGGAGAACTGAAATATTTTTTTGTGTTAAAAGAATTTCTTGTTCAAGGATATTCCAATTTATATATGTATTCAAAACAATTTAGTTTATTATATATAGTACATTTCATTTACATAGATATGTATATATTTGCGTGTATTTAATAAAAATCAATGAAACAAAAACATTTTAAGAATTTAATGAAATTTACACAAAAATTAAATTAACACAAAAAGAGCAAATTATTTGTTGAGTTTCTTAGTATATAATCTGATAGCTTTTTTTGCATTATCTTTTTTAGCATCAAATTATCGTCCATTTTATAATTCATTTCATCATTGGAATGTGCGTCTAAATAACTGCGCATACTTTTAATGACGTTCCTCACTTCGGATGACTTGAGAACAGGAGATACATTATTCTTTTCCTTTTCGTCGTCAGAATCTGCATCAATGATATATTTTAACTTCGAACAAACTTCAAAATGACTTTGTCTGAAATAAATGGGGTTGTACACATATTATAATCATCTACTGGAACGCATTCTTCCGATAGTACAGTACATGACAGTCCAATAATATTGAACTTTTCTGAAGCACTTCATTACGTGTTGGCAAAGTTTCAATATTCAGAAGGGGAACCTTTTCATGTTAAACGATTTTTTCCTGCTAAGAGAAATAAAATACATGAAAAATATAGTAGTTTGCTGGGACTGTTGTATCATTTCGTGTTAACCAATATTTTGTCAAGGAGACGGTGGGCCTCTCTGGCGTAGGGGCTCTGTATCAAAGGGGCTCTAAGGTTGCTCTGAATCAAAATTTCTTGGGGGCCCTTATTTTGAAAATGGGAGCTCTGTCAATGTGATTATTGATATTTCCCAATTCTTTTCTTACATATGTTAGGGCCCCTTAATCCCTGATACGGTTGATAAATGTCAAATTTTGGTCAAAATAGCGATTCTAATTTTTTTATACTAATAATATTCCTTATATTTCATTGAATAATTATGACAAAGAATTTTAGTTTTATTAATAATTGCTGAGTTATTTTTATTTTTTTAGGCAGAAATTAATGTTTAAAATGTACTTTTCTTAGTTCGTAAATGCTATTTGCGGTTTCATATTACGTCCTATCTTCACATCTTATGAAAGATGAAATAACTCACAAATTTGTGTGTTAGTTTTCTAAAAAAATTAACCAATCATATTTTGTGATGTTTTGAATACCTTGAGTGTGTGATAATTGGTGAAATATTTCATAGAGTATAGAAAATGTATCTTTTATTCATCAAATTTTATTCTGAATTAAAAATCCATGCACAGATCTAATTTGCTGTAGCTCATAAATACTAGTATATAAAACAAAAATTATGTACATACTTTAAAACTAATGCGCAAGGAGCCTTTTTAAAAATAGTTTAAAAAATTTAATTTGCTTAAAAAAAATTTTTTTATGTAATATTTTTTAAGGAATATATATACTTAAATTGTGAAGGAGAATAATCACATTTACTATATTGATTTCAATTTCAGCTATTTAAGATAAGTTAAGAAATTAGTTTTAATGGTTCACCGTCCCCTTAGCGGTATCATATTAAACGTATTTCACTCTACTTTGGTTCTAAAACACAAATCTACAGATTATTGCATTCAATTTAACATGGGCATTTTATTTTAACAATAAAGAGCACGGCTACGTTTGAAGTTCCATTAGATTTCATTCGAACACAAAATGTTCTGGGAAATGAACTCCAGTGGAACATACGCCTTGTAAATTGTGTTCTTTAAGGAAAGTTCCGTTGCGGCTATTAACTTTGAGCCCTGGATACCTTAAAGATAGTTAAAAAAGAACGTTTCACTTAATTAAAAGCTTCCATATTAGAACTCGGCTAGGTAGTCCGAACGGGATAAGTTAGAACATTCTTTGTTTCGGCTCGCACATTATGGAGTTAATTAACAACTTAATGAAGTTTGAAGGGGGAAGCGAAGAACGACTAAAGCTAAGAGATTACAACTCTGCTCACTCTCCCTCTGTTTTGGAATTAGAAAATTATTCTAGTTTTTTTTTTTTTTGCTGGAGTAAAGGGTTGGAGGAACAGAAAATATGTGTAAATATTTGAAGTTTTAAATTGAAGTTAGATAAAGAGGGACAAATGAGAGGTTCTGATTGAATTTTTTGAGGTGACAGGGTGCTAAAGTATTTAATTTTAGTACAATCTTTGTAAAATGTTTATACTGAAAAAATATTTGTAAGACATTTTTTTTTGAATGATTAGAATTTTTCTTTATTTTCGTCCGAACATGATTAATGTGTGACTCGTGGTTTAAAAGTTGTAAATGATTTTTTGTAACGTTTTCGCCTTTTTAAAACAAAATTAAGAATATGTTGCACGAGGACTTTAATGAAATCATTACCCACTGATAAAGAGGGGGAAAAAAAACCTAAAAATGTTTAAAGCATTTGGCTTCAATTTGAATCATTAAAGGAAAAAAGAAAATGAAAGGAAATTTATGTGTAAAGTTTGATGAAATTAACAGGAAGGAGAAAAACTACTCACTCATCAATATATTTCTCGGAACTATTAAACCCACAGACTTGAATTTTGGTTGGAATGTTCGTTTCATGGAGAATCCACTAAGAACGGATTTTGCAAAAATCGACCCCTAAGGGGAATTGCAGGAGATAAGTGGCATATTGAATACTCTTCCTGTTTTTGAACTAGTAGACCTACAGATTTGTAGGCCAATTCCTTTTATGGAGTAGAATTCCTCTAAGAATGGGTTTTGCGAAAATCGACCCCTAAGTAGGGGTGCGAGGGCTTAAGGGTCGTTAAGCATAAATTTTCCCGTTTATGAACTTAGACCTGCAGACTTGAAATTTGGTGGATTAAAACATGAACATAAATTAAAACAGTTTTAGTAATGTATTTTCCCCAGAAAAATTTGGTAAAATTCTTTAATATGACCACATAAGAAAAGGTAATAAAGTTTTTGGAATGCAAATATATTTGACTAAGTCTGAGTTAAACTGAAAACTTGAACCTAAACGAACTATTAATGTAAATTTTAAATCATATTATTTATTAGTGATACTAGCATTACCGTCTATAGTACGTTTTATACATTTTGAATCGATTAAAGTACTGTGTGAGTTTCTGCTTATTGTTTCATAATTGAATGAATGCAAAAGTAACTTTTTAGTTACTTAATATTGGATGCCGGAATTAAAATCTAAAGCACTTTAAATAACGAACCTGTTTACGCAGGATTTATCAACTATTCATAACAATTAAAAAGTTCTGCAATTTTGTTTTAAAGGTACAACATAAATGTTTTACACCTTGGAATATTCATTCGAAAAAAACTGGCAATCATGAGGAATGTGCTCTCAATAATTGTACAGTTTTCATAATTGTTCCTTAAAAGTGGTTAGCAATCTTAAAATATTGGGAGATTCATAAAGAAGTGTACTTTTCCAGATGCTGTAAAATAATGACAGTCAAAGAGACGCACCACTTCAGCGAAGTAAGGTAGATGTACTCTCTTGAAGCTTGTGTCTTGCCCCGACGGAAATGACGTAAGCAACTGCTTGCGTGTCACGTGACTATGAAATTACTATGACTGATCTTTGCTAGAACCCCCAAACATCAACGTCCTCTGGAACGTCGCAACTAGTTAGTCGAAATGGCGGAGTTCTGCAGTGGAGAATGTGCTTTTTAAGTTTTTGAATTTGGAAAATTGAAACCGCAACTGCTGTACAAAAGCATTTTTTTGTCACGATTTGGAAAAAAAACTTTCAACTAGAGAATATATCTATCAAAGTCAGGAAAAAGTTAAAACTACAGGCTGTTTGTGTAGAAGAACATTCCTGGACAACCAACTATATTGCAATAAGTCACTAATTGTGCTTCCCCCATTGGCGTAGTCAGTCCTGAATTGACCTTGTATCAAAATTTCTAGGAGGCATTATTGGGGCCCCTAGGATTTTTACTTTTACTTTGTTAGGGCCCCTGTGGTTTGGGGGCCCGCATCATTGATGAGGTAGTAGCTACCCCCCTGGTTTCCACCACCATTCAACGGAGCCACTTTTATCGATATGTTAAATCTTTAATTGATGCCGCAGTTGTAGGACGATATTGAAAACTTAATTCTATTGGATGGTTATCTTTGGTAAACACGGGTGTCACGACCCCGGGGTACCCCAGTGACCTTTCTATTTTCGACCCTCCATCTTGTCATTCAATTTCTTCTTTTCCCGTCCAGACCACAGACCTATGAATGTTTGGCGCAGTATAGCCAAAACTGGCTCTTGCTCCATAAAACACCAAACTCAACTCAACTCAACCCTATTGGATGGTACACGACCACACTGGTCGGCCTAAGTGCGAGATTACTTCGATGAATATCTTCCTCACAGATGGATTGAATTAGCCACGGACCACAACGTGCCACTTAACCAATGACCACTCAGTCTTAACACCTTGTGATTTCTTCCAGCGTTCGTCCCTTCCCTCCCTGTTGATTTAGAGG